TGTTGGCAGGCCAGGGACCAGCTTAGAGAGAAGAGGGGCCAAGGGCTGTGGTCACCGCGCTTTGATGCCAGGGCCGGACGCTGGGCATTGAAATGTTCAAATGTTCCAGGTAACACCAGGGAGAGGGGCTTGAATATTGAGGAAAGAAGACACCGTGAGGAAGTGAGCAGAAAGTGGGCTGGGAGGAAAACTTCAGTGTTAGGTGGAACACTACGAAGTGGTGGGCCTTTGCCAGGCCCTGAGAATACAGTGGCGACTTTTCCTTAAGAGACTGCACTTACATTTTACTAATAAATAGTTGAATGATTGGAAGTGTCCAGCAGCTGTGCAGGCAAACACCCGGACCACAAGAAACAGTAGCAGAGCTGAGTCCAGAGGCAGGAAGACAGCTGAAGAGACCAGAAGGCTTGCAGGTCCTGAGGCCAGAGAGAGTATGCCTAGCCTTGAGGAAGTGAACATTGGGTGTTAAAGCCCAAGGCCGGACAGTAGCCCCTCCAAGGGGTGGCCAGGCTGGGCCTGGAGCACTCCAGGCGGTCTGACAGGGCTTGAATTGGCTATTCCAAGTCTAGTGTGCTCTCGATGAGTTCCAACAAGGATGGGTCACATTTTGAACTGTCGCTTCTAAGAGGTTCTCCCGGATGTGGGTAGAATTCAGGCAATAGTCAGAAAAGCTATTGTGATAATTCAGGCGGTAATTAAATTGGCAGTTACCAAGTGGAGATGGAGAAAACAGAATAAATTCTGGAGACTTGACTTGGACGAGATGTTTGGAAAAGAAATAGCTCCATTTGGAGTAGAATTAGTAGAATTATCCAAGAATTGGTAATGACTTGGATCTAGGAGGTGAGGGTGGCTTCTAAAATTCTGGTTTACATAATTGGTTGAGAATACCGTGATGTCTGAGAGCAGAAGAGGTGGCCCAAGATTAACAGTTGAGTGGCTTTTGTTTGTTTTTATGCCCTGGGGGTGAATGGGGGTGGGTGGGTAAGGTTGCCTGTGGGTTTTATGCTTAGTCCTTTTGAAGTGCCTATGTGCTATCCAAATGGATTGAGTGCTAGGCTGCTGGAAGTTTCTGCAGAGGTATGCCCTGGAGCTATTGATTTAAGAATGATAGGAATATAAACAGAAATAGCTCCATTAGCATGAGAAAGATAGCCCTGAGAGAAGAGTTAGGGAAACTCACTACTGAGACCAAATGAGAAGAGGACTGGAGGAGGAGAGGAGAAAAACCAGGGAAGTGGCTGTTGTTAGGTCTAAGGGGAGGAAATGTCTGAAAAGACTGCTCAGAAGCCAAAGACTTGACCAATCAAGCAAGGAGTCAGACAAGTGTTCAGAAACCTTCACAAAGTTGGTTCTGTGGAGAGATGGGGGTCAGAGCAAGTTGGGAGGAATCATAAACTGAGGTTGTTGCTGCATTTGGGCCCCATACGATGTACAGAAGTCAGAAAAGACTGCGAGATGCCTGCCAGGAGACTAGAGGCAAGGCTCTCTACTCTGCCTCCCAGCATGGACCCCTGGGGAACCCTAAGGGACTGAAGAATGAGTACAGAAATGGGCTGCTTTCTGCCAAATCATGATGCAACTCAGATTTGGGTCCTGAACTGCAGGAGGCTGGTCACCCTTCCCCCTTCTGAATACTGTCCATCTCACCAAGAGTCTGGTGTCTTGTTCTGTCCTCCAGTCGCTTGGGGACAGCAAACACTCTTTTGGGACAGCACTTTGGAAACAATTTGTCAGTTTAAGAAGAATCAGAATTCCCCCTTTCTTGTTTAAAATGGGTAAGGGTATTTTTGTCACATTGTTGAAGTCTTCCCTCCTGTTCTTGCAGAAGCAGAAAATACCATGATGGGTTCAAGGAGTGTTTAGACATCTAAAAAGATTGCTTGTGAAGTATCAGGGAAGTAAGAAAGTAATTACTGAGAAGAAGGGAAAAGAGACTGAATACTCCAGAAATACTCACCCAGTAAACACTTCTGGGCGAGCCACTTTATGCTCCATTCTGAGCATATAGTGGTGAATAAAACAGGATCTTCTTGATCTTTCTAGGACTAATTTTAAATCGATCAAAATTACATTATAAATCGTTCAAAATTACTTTCTTAATATCAGTTAAGATATAATTTTTATTCAAATTCAGCTAGTTGTCCCTGAAATGTCCTTTGTAGTTGATATGTACAAACCAGGCTCTAATTATAGGCACACATTGCATGCATCTGGTAGCTTTTTGAGTCTTTTTGAAATTAGAGGTTTTCTTTACTTTGTGTTCTGTAAAGTAGAAATTTTCTTAAATAGTGGGATCACTTGGTGATTTGGAAGTAGGTTTCTTACAGAAGGGCAAAATAAATGCTTAATTCTCTCATTTAGCTTGGATAATAGCTGATCTTTGTCAACTTGGGCTCATGAATTTTCAGGTTCTGACCTATTAAAATTAATCATACTTTTTGATTCTCGAATTGTTACAAATTTGGCCCATGTTATATAGATTTTACACAAGTTTGTAATGTTTAAAAAGGCACAGGAGGGCCCTCCCTGGTGGCACAGCGGGTTAAAGCACAGCACAAAGAAGCTTAAGCCACTTCTGCTTGAGTTCGATCCCCGCCTGCACCAGAGAAGATCCACATGGCGAAGGAGACCTCTCCTGACCCGCCCACTGTTCCCCTCAGCAGTGTACTATGTCTTTGACCATAGGTGTGTGCACTGACATGGAATTGCTTCATGATAGCATGATCCTGCTTTGATTAGCTAGGAATACCACACACACTTCCCATAGTGGCTATGCTCTTTCCACTTCCATCAGACTCCAGTTTCTCCACATCCTGTCAACACTCTTTTGGATAGTGTCAGTATGTATGTTTTGGGAGAAATTTCTATTCAAGCTCTTAGCTCCTTTTTGAATCAAGTTTCTCTGTTGTATTTTATGGGTTAATATAATATCACTATATTCTGGATTTAGGAAAACTTAAAAGCCAAATGCAATTATTAACCTACAGAAGAGGGTCTAACCTTGGCGGGAATGGATACAGGTTGCAGATCAGGCATTGGAAGAGAAGCAGATAAGAACATAATAAGTCTAAGGAAAATAAATAACATTAGATCCTTTGAAACAGGATAGAATCCAATAATCATTTTTTTTAAATTATTTTTTACTTATGCATACAAGAGCTGGGGTATAGCCAGAGGTGTGGAGGAGTGAGAGGATTCACCAGAGACAGTGGGGAGCAGAACAGCAGACTGACAGAAATACACTGCTGAGGAGAGCAGCAAGCAAAACAGGAGAGGTTTGCTGCGCCATGTGGGTTACCTCCCTGGCTGGGAATTGAACCCTTGGTCGATCACTTCAGAGTGCTGCACTGACCCGTTGTGCCACTAGGGAGGGCCCAATAATCATTTTTTCAAATGGCTGTTCACCATAGCAATAGGAACCCTGGAACTGAAAAACTGGGAAAGATATTCTGTTATCTCCCATTTACTCCTGTACTGAGAGGTTCCAGAAAAGACTGATCCCATCATATATGAAAACCCAGACAGGTTTGAGCAGAAGGTGCTATCCCATAGAAGGACCAAACAATTCAAAGCAAGGATCCCAAGAGCTGGGACAGCTAATGCTCTCAGTCACCCTTACAGGTCTCTGGCCAGATAAAGCAACTCCACATTCTACTAACCTGTGCAGAAGGGGCTGTTCATGAGTTACACACCCTATTTCCCTTTCCCACTAAGGTTAGACCCTCTTCTGTCGGTTAAAACTGCATCTGGCTTGTAAGTCTCCCTAAAGCCAGGATCAATCTGAAGCCTCCTCTCTGCCTTCCTCTGTGGCTTTCAGTACCCATTCTGTTGGAGGACGAGCGGCTGGAGTCACGTAGGTTTCCTCTGTGCTCCTGCCAGCTAGGTGCACATTGTAGCCCAGACCGGAACTGCTTGAAATAAGGACCGGAAGGCCTGAAAGAAGAGGGGGTAGTGGGAGACACGGGCAAGTGGAATTTGAACTGGATCAATTTTACCTGACTGCTTTTCTCCAAGGATGCCGAGAAGTCAACGTCCGTCTTGGACATGTCTACCTCTCGTGGAGACAGCGGAGTACATGCCTCTTGGAATCCTGACCCTCAAGACACTCAGCCCTTCCCTCAGTGTACAGAACTGGAGAAGATGCCCTTGGTTTCTGCTGAGGCAGCCAGACTTAGTGCGGGTGAAATGGGACAACAGTTCAATGTGCCGGTGCCGGAACAGGGTGTGAACTATGGCCTCCAAGGAACTCTTGCTCCAGCCCAGAATATTTACTTTCAGGGAGTAGCTCCCACTCAGCCAGGAATGATTTTTGAGGGCTCTCAGACAATGCCCTCAGGAAAAACCAGTATTCCGGGCGTGGCCATGACTTACGGTGGGAACCTAAGAATGCCCCCCCATGTGCTGCCAATCTCAGCTCCCAGTGGCAGTCCAGTGATGCCCCACATCAGGGCACCAGAAATGCCTTATTGCGGCACCCCGATAGTACCCACTAACAGAGACTCTGTAACACCTAAAATGTTACTGACCCCAACCATGCCTTCTGCGGAGGGACAGGCAATGCACCCCTGTTTGGCTCAGATGATGCCCCCTAGAAATCCTCATGCTCTTGGGACGCCCCCAGCGAGGTCCTCGTCATTGCTGGTTCTAGAATCCCAGGACTCTTTTGTAAGCCAGCCGACCTCCCAGTCAGGCCCCTCCCTTCCTGAGCAGCCTATACCTGCAGCACAGAGAGCAGAGCAGAACTCCAGGGCCCAGGAGAGGGCTCCAAGGAGACCTCTGGTTTCCAGGCCTTACCACTGCCAGTTCGAGAACTGTGGCAAAGCTTACACTAAGCGTTCCCACCTCGTGAGTCACCAGCGCAAACACACAGGTGAGTGACATGTAGGTAAATGTGTCAGCAGTGGGCTGGGAGTGGGGGAGGGGCACCTGAGATTTAGATCTGCCCTAGAGCACTGCTTTGTAGTGTCTGACATTAGTCCATCGTATTTGGGACCAAGCTATATTGGCCCTGGTGACCAGCATGCTCAGTCTGCTTCATCTGTGTCAAGATATGTCAGGGGGAAGTGCTGATAGTTGCCCCTCGCTGACTTCTTTTAAGTTTTCCCTTTTGGTTTCTCAGTCTTCACTACTGTGCCTCAGTTCAGGCCCCTTCCGTTCCCACCCGCTGTTCTGTTCCTCTACTTAATTCCACCTTCTCTCTCGTATCCCTACAGGCCAGAGGCCCTATAAATGCAGTTGGGAAGGCTGTACGTGGTCTTTCTTCCGTTCTGATGAGCTTGGACGACATATTCGGATCCATACCAAATATCGACCACACAGGTGTGATCAGTGCGGCCGGCAGTTCATGAGATCTGACCATCTCAGGCAACACCAGCGGACTCACCAGCGTATGCCGCGTTCCCTAGACCCACAGGCTAACACTGGACATACGACTGGTCTCTAGGTCAATCTCGCCTGCCCCTCATTTTGGCTTCTCCGCCCAGACCCTGCCTGCTCTGACCAGCTAGTTCCTTTGGTAGGTGTAGGGTTGGATGAAGACAGGTTGTGAGGCAGGGTTGAAGCCCATATGAAGCTCTGGACCCAACCAAGGACTGCTCAAAACCGACTTTTGAGCTTAGCCACATGGGAAGATGGAGCAATGTAAAGATTGGAGCTTTGTTAAAAAGCTCTTGATCGTATGTCACTCCCCAGCTTGAAATCTTTTAGTGACTCTCCTTTGCCTACTTGATAAAATCCAAGTCCGTCTTCCATAGTTTCCAGAGCCCAGACTATGTTCAACTCCTGAATTTACCACTTATATCCGTGTAATCTTGGGAAAAGTCTTTGATCTTTCTGCCTTGTTTCCTTTTCTGGAAAATGGACACAGGTGTTGGACATGGGTCCTGAATCAGGTCCTGCTGGGTGCTGACCAGCACAAGCCCAGAGAGCCTGTTTCTTCCCACCACTGACAGACTGGGATGGGGCCCCACCACAGGGCATGGAATTTGGCCTCTCAAGTAGCCACTGTAGCCCAGAATGAGGGCAAGTTGGTCCCCCAGGGGTAAAATTTGACAAATGGGAGAAAGCCAGGGGCAGATTAATTCCCTTTTCTTCCCTTCCTTGACTACTACAAGGCATCTTTTCTCCAAGCAGCACAACAAAGGGAAGAACTCCCAGGTAGCTGGTGGACACCTGCTGTGCTTCAGGCTTATCAGGAAGCGGGACCCAACCTGGTGCCCCCCTGGCTTTATCTCCCATTCTTCCCTGCCCTAATTTCCTTTTCCCACTCAGTGCCCCGGGTTTGCACCTCAATAAAACATCAGTGCTTAGCTCTTGTTTTAGGCTTTGTTTTCTAGGTGACTTAGTCTTGGAGGGCAGCTTTGGCAAGCTGTCTACAGCCACTGCAGCGGGAGTTCCATCCCCCCAGGGAGCTGACCCACATGGTACAGCAGGCCGCTCCTGACCCGCCCACTGCTCCCCTCAGCAATTTCAGATCTTCCTGTTCTGCTCCCCACTGTCTCTGGTGAACCCTCTCACCCCTCTGTCTCTGCCCTGTAATCCAGTTCTTGTGTATAAATAAAAGTACAGTGATGGAGGACATATCAAGAGCTCGCTGTAGTAGACCCAAGTGTGAAGAAGTGTGGTTTGAACTCAGTTATGGGTTAACTAGGAGTGGGGGTGATTTGGGAAAGTGATTCATCTGTCCTTTATCTAGTCATTACTTTTTGGGGATACTGGCTAAGACTTCCAAGTGGGTAGATGAGAGCTGGTGGGTCCTCCCTCAGTAAGACCTCTGGTTTTTCAATCATGTCTGCCTTTTCCTGGCTGTGTGGACTTGGGCAGTTTACCCTTTGTTTCTCAGACACAAAATGGGGCAAAACTGATAGACTCTAACAGAAGGGGGAATAAATCCCATTTTGTTATTTATTTTTAAAAAGTTTTTAAAAGATTTATCTATTTATGCATACAAGAACTGGGGTACAGGCCAGAGGTGGGTGCGGGGGGGCTGAGAGGCTCCACCCAAAACTGAGTGGGGAGCAGAACAAGCAGGTCTACTGAAATACACTGCTGAGGGGAGCAGTGGGTGGGTCAGGAGAGGTCTGCTGCGCCTCCCCCTGCAGCCAGGAATCCAACTCCTGCTGCAAAGGCCCTCACAGAAGGGCCCTAAATCCCATTTTAGCATGGCTTAAGGAAGAAAAGGCCTTGCTCCAGGTGCACTTGAATGTAACTGGATTAGGTGTGGCAATCAAGGCAGAGAATAGAGGAGAGAATTAAATTTGGTGGGCCAGTGTTTAAGAATAACTTCCAGGTTTCTGGCTTGTGTTAAGTGGGAAGAACCAGACAAAATGCATCATTTTCAATTTTATTACAATAGTATACCTACAAATACATATACAAAAAATTGTGTAAAAATACAAGTATGTAATAATCATATCCTCCCCCCCACCCCCAGCCTCCATAGAGGTGACCAATATCCTGAATTTGGTTAATTGTCTAATCATTTAAACTGGATCCACCTGGTTAGTTCTTAGATGTTTTCATCCTAAAAATAGAAGACAAAACTAACCAAGAAATGCCCAAGTAGCATTGTGGTTGAGAGCCAAGAATGGAGGTGGGGGAGGGAGGTGGAGAATGGGAGATTTGCACAAAGCCCACTTGGAGCTTCTCAAGGAGGAAAGCTGTGGGGTGGTTCCCAGTTGTGTCCAAGTTCCAGAGCACACAATGGTGGAGTTTGGCATGGAACTTGGGAAGGAGCATGAGACAGTTACCAGCCCCACCCAGGAGATTAGATCCTTTTTGCCACAGAATTCACCAGAACACTAGATGTGGTTGAACCAGACAAGGGTTTATTAGATTCATACAGGAAAGGCGAAATGAGCCTGACTGCCAAAGATTAGGGAGAGACTTCAGGGGATGGGCAAGTCCGCGGGGGTAGGAGAGCACCATCACTGCTTGTCCTGGGTCCCCAAGCCATCCCAACTGCATCTCTCCCTTCGGGAAATTGCAATAATCACGAGTCAGGATCCACTGTCTTTAATGTATAGTGCCTATGGTCAGCATGGTGGGCCCAAAGTTCTGGGCAGGATGGATGGGGCCGCCAATCCATGATTTAGTCGGCCTTTTCAAACGCCTTGGAGCAATTCCTTGTACTGGTTGTTTTCAACTAGTCTGTCTCAATGAGACCCAGAAAGAGGGAAGACATTCCAAGGATCTTTCACTCTCTGAGCCTGCTCAGCATTGTATCAATTTTATTCATTCTCATTCACTAATCAAAAATGTCTGGGGGTCTCCGTGCTGGGGCTACAAGACTTTCTAGAAGATTTAGAAGGGCGAGGGTACCACGGGACGCTTCTGGAGCTGCTGCTGGATTACTGCAAAAACTTCTGCACGCTGAGGGGGCAAACTGGTGGTTTTTAGTTCTCACCTCCCTGCTTGAACCCACCTAGTGTGTCAAAAATCCAACAGAGACTCCAAGAAAGCCACGGGCATTCCCTAGCCTGAGCTCTCAGCAACGGAACCAAACCTGCCAGAAACCTCCCTGTTGGGCCTAGGCAGAGCTCTGGTGTTGGTCCTAGCGCCCCCCTGAGCTTCAGGAGGCTAGCTCAGTTGGTCCACAGTTCAAGACTTAATTCCTTGTCATGGCAAAAGCCACAGGCAAACCTGGCAGGGCTTGACCAGAAGAAAGTAGCTTAGGAGTAATAACCTGGCGCCCTCTCCTGGGCAAACTGGCCAGTTGTGTTGATGCATTGCTACTCCTGATGAGACATCCTTTTCATCGCCCCGTTAGGCCCACGTTTGGCCTCCTTGTACGTTAAAAAAAAAAAATCTTCAAGTCTACGAATAAATTAGGTACCTACTGTGTGCTGGCCACAGTGCTAAGTGCCAAGCAAAGTCTTAGAAAGGAGAACATTTCAGCTGTAATCATTTCCCTAGCAGCAAGTAGTGCTACAGTCACAGGTGAGAATTATCTATGGACTCTCGCATGCTGCTTTAAGTGATCAGATCGTGAAAAATCCTTCTTGCAGATGATACACACATAGGGTCGCTCCCCAGTGTGTTTTCTCTTGTGTCGGCTGAGTTCATCCGAACGGGAGAACTTCCATGAGCATCCTTCCACATTGCACACAAAGGGCTTTTCCCCTGGAACAGAGAGAAAGAAAGACACTTATTACGCTTCAGGGCAACCCAGGACAATGGAGATGAAAAAGTTTTAAGCATGTGGAGTGGAGAGGGAGAGCCAGGAGATGATGCTGGAGAGGTTCAGTAAGAGAACAGAAGGAGGACATTAAAGAGCTGGAAAGGCAAGAGGAAAACTGAAGAAAAAAAAAAAAGAAAATGGGACAAGCCAGGGCAGCAGGAGAGTTAGTGTGAGGGGTTCTGTTGGCCTACAGGAATGGCCATGAGGCCACGTCCTGGAGAGGTGGGGTCAAGATCGCCAGAGGACAAGCACCACTCCACACATTCCCACCACCCACACACTATACCGCAAAGGCTGCAGTCAGGTTGGCTCTAGACCAGAACAAGTCTGTACCCAGCACATCCTCATCTGCCCTTTCAAATTTGCCAACCCTTCTGGAACCTTCTGGTTCTTAGAGGGAGGTGGCAACAATCTGAAACGACCCCAAAGCTTTGTAAATGTACTTTTAGTCTCCCATCCCTGGCCACTCACTTACCAGTATGACAACGTTCGTGGACTCGGAGATGGGAGGACTTTGAATATGATTTCCCACAGTCCTTGTATGTACAGCTGTAGGGCTTCAAAGCACCAGGTTTCTTCTGGAACTGGTGTCTCTTAAGGTTTTGCTTCTGCTTTTCTTGGGATTGTCCTTGGATCAAATTGTCACTTGAAGAGTACTGGAACCCTGGATATGATGACAGTTGATATGGCCTCAAGTGGTCTCCATAGAGACTGTAGCCACCAGTGCAGATTGTCATATGACCACAGCCCTGGTCATCACTGTAAGTCATAGTATGGACACCATAGAAGTTCTGATCACCACTGTATGTTGACATGTGATTGTTGGTGAAGGTCTGGTTACTGATAAAGGCCATTGTGCTCCCTGTAAGAGCTGTAATCTGACTTCCAAAATGGGCCTGATCCCCACTGAAGGTGTTTATCTGACCACCACTGAAGGCCCTTGGGTCCCCATAAGAGGTCTGGTTCCCACTGAAAGTCATTGGGCATCCATACAGGGTCTGATCATCACAGGGGTTCTCCATTTGGCCCCCATAAAGGATCTGGCCACCATTGACTATTTGGCTCCCATTGAGGGTCTGGTATGCACTGAAAGTATTTGGGACATCAGTGACATTTGTCAACCAGGAGGTTGCTGTGGGATATAGCTGGTCAAAAGAGGCCACCTTTTGGTTTAAGGGAGCCTCAAGTTTGTCTTCAGGGGGCACAGCAAGGGCTTTCACCTGGTTCTGGGTTGACTCATGTTGGCTGTCTTTATCACAGACAGT